GGTGGGCTTCCTGCCGATTACACAGAAATACTGACAAGGGATGATTTCAGTTGGTAGGGTTTTGGGTGATTTTTTTTTAGGTAGTATTTGATAGTTTCTGACATTTGCATGAGTTTATATGACTTTTTATAATCAAAGAAAAATATATGTTTTCAAAGGCTCTCTATTCACCCCTCTATATTTTTGGTATTTATTAAAATGGTACAAGAGAGAATTTTCAAGGATTTTGCTAATAAAAGAGATTTGGCAAAGGGACAAAAATTTATTTTTTGATAATGGTTGATAGAAGAGAGTCTACCCTGCATTAAGCAAACCTTTACATACGAATGGAAATTGGGATGAGAATTAACCTTTATAAAACCCCCCTTAAACGGGCCAATTAAGATAGGATTGTTTTAGCTACCTTATTTAGTTAGCTTAGCATCAAGTATTTTTCTAATTTCTTTTTTTTTTTTTTTACTTTTTAGTAATGAAGCTCATTTCAGTAATCCCTATTGGAAGATAGATTACAATAATCACTCATAATCTAACCACTTAACTGTTGTCATCTTTATTTCAAGTTATTTTCTGCCCTAGACCTTCAGACCATTTAATAAGTCTTATCCCATTTTAGTCTCAAAACAGGATTCAGAACAGGCCAGGGAGATGCTCTTGTTCCCATAAGTGAGGTATGGAGCCCACTCCTGCCTGCTTGGCCAGAGGCTTCTCTGGAGACAAGCTGGCTGTGTCCCTGAGGGACACCTGTACCCTGGGATCACTAAGGGCCACAAAGAAAGACTAAGGTCATTTATTTAGATGATTTTTGTTCTTTGTGTTCTTAAAACACACAAGGTATTTGCTTCATCTCATCTTTCAGACACTGTGTATCGATTACTTCAGGTTCTTGGATCAGAATTTGATGTAAGCATGTGAGATATTTAATCTACCACTTGGGATCCTGTTTTTAGTGACCTGAATACCCGTTTGGAGAAAATTAACATGAGTTCATTCAACATGAATTTTAAAGTTGTCTACCTTTGTATGGAAATACAAAGCAATCGGAAATAGGCTAAATAATGCCCCCCCATCAATCTCTTTAATTATACCACGCCCAGACTTTTTTTATTCTGTGACATTTTCTGCAGCTGTTATCAAACCGCAGGACAACTATTTTCGTTAGAATAACTTGCTGGCACTTTCCTGTGTTTTAGTCCAGGAAAACTGAAGGGTAGAATTCAAACAGAACCTTGTTTACTTTTTCCACACTTCAGGAACCAGACTAAATTCAGTCCAAAGAACCCTAGGGGGAAAGACAAAAAAAAAAATTTTTCTTCATGGTACACAACTGAAATTAGCAAAGAAGACTTTATTTACACTGGACATTATCATCCTAATGAACAGAGGGAAAGCAGTCATCGATAAGGATAGATAGTTGTCTCTGAGAGCAGCTAGTGATGAGATGCGATCATCAAATGGTGGTTTAGAGGCATTTAGACGTTGATAGGGTCAAATTCCTTGAGCTGCCCAATTTTGGCAGAAGGAGCATTCCATTGGGACAGAGCACACTTTTTCTGCGTGTCCTCCTCGACAGTGCTTTGCCTGGGTTCCAGCTGAGAGTGTATTTTCTCTTGGGTGCTTGTCTCTTGGTTGGATTGGCTTCAGGGGAGAGAGGCCGGCAGTGTGCCTCGGCTCCGGGTTGAGGCTGGTGGCTGCAGTCAGTCCGTCCAGTGGGAAGGCGGCCTCCCACTTCCTCTACTTGCTCCCTTGCTCCCTTGTTTCCAGCCTTCGGCGCCCAGTGATGGCCACTGCTGCTGGGCTCTGGCTTTCTACCTCGGTGAGCATTCAACAGTCTGTTTTGATGCCTTGCTTTCAGAGCTGGGTTTAGCAAAGCGAGGATGGAATTGCCGTCCTGGGAGTCAAGGGAAAAACCATCCCGCTCGTGCTTCCTCTGGGAGCTTGCGGCTGCTCTAACCCAGGAGGAACTTCTCCCTGCTGTGTTATGTTGGATTGGATGCAGTTGCCACTTTTTAAACATTTTTTTAATTCTAAAAATGTCCATTTTATGTGATTCAACTGAATAACTGAACTCTGGAACACAGTAGGGTGAATTAGGGCAAAGGAGGAAGGAGGTGACATTTACTGTGAACACACTGTGTGCTGGGCGTGCTAGCACACTCATGCCTCGAATTTCCCCAGAATACAAACCACATGAGGGCAGGGAGTGTGCGTGCCT